ATTATTATTGTTTGCTTGCATCTTCTCATCGATTCAAACAAACAATACTAAATGAAAGTAATAAGTCCAGTTTGAAATTTGGTTAATTATTATGGGCCAAATTTTGTATATTTGAATTATAACATGTAATGTGCATTTTTAATTGACTTATATTAATGTACTTGAATTATTTATGGTCTATGCAAAGAGAAAATGTTGGATAATTCAATCACGAAAAGGAAACATTCCTTTTTCTCTTAGAAAATATCTCCCTCTCATCATTTTTTATGTCGTCAGTTTAATTCAAGCCAAATAACTGTTGAAAAATTAAATATTGACAATTTAGGTGCTCGGACTGGTAAGCGGCCTATGCTCCTCCACGAGGGTTAACAGGCATAAGTAAAAAATGTTGCTCGGGGGTTTTTAAAGGGCTTCGGTTGCATGCAAGAGGGGATCCGACCAGAAATTCTCAAGTTTTTTTATCAATCATACAGTGGTTATTACAGGTACAGAAACGAAGGCAAAATCCATTGATTAGGAAAATAAATTAATATTTTCAAAAAGTTAATTTTGGTAACTATCATATTGACGATGGCAAATCAGTGGTTTAAAAATAAAGAGCATGCCTAACAGACTAACCTAAAGATCAATACCTTGAAGGTTCATGGATTTGCACTGCTAGGAATTCCGGGACTAGAATGAAACACATTTTCAGTTCTCTCCTGTATTTAATAATGAACTAGCTAAAGTCAATCTGTGATATCAAATACCTTCAGCTCGATATTTATTTATCAGGAGTCATTTTTATACTTAAAAATGTTGACAGTCAGACAACATAGTTATGGTAAATGATGGTCATTATCGCGATACAATATGACTACAAACAGTACAACTTTCGTTAGTCATAAATTATCATTGGTTATGATATGATAAGTCATTTGGTTGATACAGCCTATCTGAAATTCAATTGTCAATATATAGAACAATTTATCAGAGCCAGAGTAAACGATATCGAAGGAAAGGGACATTAGTTACTAGGCTGAATTTTCGACACAACCAATGTAAGTAAAACAGAATTCAAATACACAGTGAAACAGGATCATTAATATCATACAAGGAACAGTGAAAAGAAATCAAACGCAAAAAAAAATTTGAATGAGAGTTGAAAATAAAAAACAATGTATATCTAATCCCTTTTGAGCTTATAAAAAGATAATGAGATGCAACAACCAGAGTCTCACCATATATTACCACGGGGACATTTTATTCACGTTTCCATCAATTTGTGTTACCACTAAGACTGGATTACAAAACAACACATATGTTTCTGGAAGTTAACGCCGACTAATGAACTCAAGTCAATCAGTAAAACATTTTCAACCCTAAAAATTAAACTGACTTGAAGAGAATGTAAGAAAACGACTATCCAATAAACAGTGATTTTCACGAAGCTTGTATTCGTTGACACTGATCATCAAAATGGCTAATAATAATCGCTAATCTACAGTAATTTTTTTTCATAGTTGAAATCATGAGTCAATTGAAGCTAGACCACCATCGAAAACCTGGAAACACTGTTTGACGGCCGTTTCGTCCTATTATGGGACTCCTCAGCAGTGCGCGTCCATGATCCCACACTCGTGAGATTCGAACCCAGGACCTACCAGTCTCGAGCAGAGCCCTACAGTAAATCAATTCGAACACGTGACTTAATTCATATTATTATTGTTATTATCTAATCAAAGGACGTCACTGAAAGTGTCAATTGTTCTTTAGATTGGAATAGAATCTAAATAGAAAACATGACTGATCATTTTTTTTGTATATTATATGGCCAAAAATTAAACTATCATTGTTATCTGAAGCTCAATATTTTTAAGAATCTACCTAAATTTTGTAAAAAATTTCCTAAATTAATTGTAGCTTAATTTAAATTACAAATTTTTTCATTGGTTGATATCAACTAGAAAATCATCCAAAAAATCAAAAACAGTTGATACATCGAGCTGAGAGAACTACGAATATTTCACATCAGATGATATATAGCGCTATCCTTAATGATTTGAAGTATTTCAGTTCAATCCCATGTGTTGTCGTGGTCATACAGAATAAAGAAGAGCAATCAAATTCGTACCTGGTAATTAGAGTTACAGTAAACTAAGTTACATGACTTGTGTAACTAATAAACTAATTTATTAATGCGTTATCATCAACATAAAATCTAGCATAACTTCGCATCACTCAAAGTTCACGTACTTCCTGTCACCGTAGAGAGACAGAGAGATGAAGTTAGTGATATGAAAACTGAAGGAAATTAATTAATTTCACTTACAATGACAATCTAGGTACGAGAAATATAATTCACAAGGAGTAAATGATATCGGAGGAGAAGAAATTAAGAACAGTATTCAACTTGAGATTTAGACGATAATAAATAAATCTAACTGTTAGTGCTACCTACTTCATGTTCTATCACTCAAAGTTCAAAGCGAACAAATGAGACAAATAAGAGTTGAAATTCGTAAGAACAACTTTTAAAAAGCGGTATCGTTATGCTTATGATCAGGTTGTGTTTCATAAAAATTGTAATCATTTTAGTAAAAGATATCAATGTATCAGTTATAATTGTAACCGATACAAAACATGATCATATGCTCACTAGTGACTGGCTCCATGAGGTAATTCCTGGAGTTCTGGTGAGAAATCATGGCCAGTGGAGTTAATTCATGTCAGGTAGAAATAGGTATCTACCTCAGTACAATGGAAGTTGATCGCGAAATTTCTTGGATTGGTTGAGGTTAGATATTAACATCGTTGGATGACAGCCGGCTCAGTGGTCTATCGGTTAAATGCTCTGGCGCGAGACTGGTAGATCCTGGGTTCGAATCTCGTGAGGCGAGATCGTGGATACGCACTGAGGAGTCCCATAATAGGATGAAACGGCCGTCCAGTGCTTCCAGGTTTTTCGTGGTGGTCTAGCTTCAACTGACTCATGATCTTAACTATATAAAACAAAACTTAAATCACTACACTTTGTACTTATTAATGTTATTCTGTCAGAAATGATCACAGATTCGAATAGAAAATGGACAGAGGCAAACTAGAGGTTTGTAGGATTGTAGTGTTCCAATTTTACAACAGCGAATTAAGATATAGTCAATAATAAAATAAGATTGACCATATAAGTAAAATAGCAGTGGAGAAAAATTTATTAAAGATGTAGCGATTACGACAGATTTCTTGTTCTTTCAAGATTATGGTTGTCTTACATAGTTCAAATACTATAACCTGACTTAGTCAATATGATTTACATTACATTCAATTTACTGATGATGTGATTTGGTTAGTTTCAATCTTACCTTATCCATAGCTTTACATCAATATCTATTCCATATAATTAAATGGTAATTTAATAAAGTACATTGTTTAATGTATTCAGTGTATTTATATTGTCTTAAAATTAAAGGATTATTAATTTTCAATAGCAATACTTATAGCAAATACTGAATATTAATTATTATTATTACGACATATTGAACACTTTCAATTATCTATTACAATATTATATTAAGATTGTTGTCATAAAGTCAAAATATTGCTCAAAGTCTAGTCGTCAGTTAGTCAGCTACAACGTAGGACCAGGAACATATATGCATCGGTCCAAGTTGCCATACCTCGTTAGTACAACAAGATGAACACCGAATTCATAGAAGTAGGTAATTTAGTGGTGGTAGTATATAAAGAAAGGTTGTATATAAGGATATAGTATAGGAAGGAAAAAAGTTAGGAAGCAATTTTAATCTGAAGGTTTAAGGGAAGATAAAGAGTGCATACACCTACGCCATTGTGATCGATTCCGAGTCATGTCACACCGAGTCTCCAACCATTGGTTACGATAGTCATGCGGACCCCAACCAGGTAGTCTGCATCTACCAACATGGCTCAGACTAGAAGTTAGTGACTTCAAGCACTGATGCCATGTTTTGGTTTGGCCGCCATCAACTCTTGTGGTAATCGGTGTTCAGGCATACGTAACACGTGGCGCAACCATCTCAGTCGATGAAGATCCACAACCTCATCAACTGATTTACCATCATTCCCTAATACCCTGCATCTAACCTCACTATTACTTAGCCGGTGATCCCAGCAGTTTCCAGAATTATTTCTAAGGCATCTGTGGTCAAGTACTGGTAACTTACGAGTATCTTCTACTTTTAATGGACATGTTTCACAGTCAAAGTCTAGACTCTGATTTATATTGGTAATACGTTACAAACTTTCTATCCAGTTTAGTTTGATTTACTTCTTGAAAAATTCTAATGAATTACATATATTTTCATAGTTGAAAGTGTTAGTCAATTGAAGCTACACCACCATGGGAAAACCTGGAAGCACTGGACGACTGTTTCGTTCTATTGTGGGAATCCTCAGCAGTGAGCATCCACGACCTCGCCTTGCAAGATTTGAACCCAGGACGCACCAGTCTCGCGCCAGAGCACTTAACCGAGAGACCACTGAGTCAGCATCCCATGGTGTTTATGTCTAACTCCAACCAATCCACGAAAATGAGCAACCGTTCATCAATTGTCTTCAGTGAGTTGATATCTCACAACATACGTGGTTTGAACTCCACTGGTCATTGCTTCTCACTAGAACTCCTGGATTTACCTCTCGAAGTTAGACACTAGTGAGTATATGATTATTATAACTATGAGAAGGTGTTTTGTGGATATTTAGTATTTTCATAGTTCAAATCTTCACGAAACCCGTTCTCATAATTATATATATATATAACTGATGAATCTAAAAATTATAATTAGTTCTCTCCTAAAATTTTATCGGATATAATTCAATATCAAATTTTATTTGGCACATTCATCATGAATTAAGTACTTTTTTTGTTGATAACTTAACATTAAACTACATCTCTAAAGGATAATGATGTTAGCTGTACATACAACATACCCACTCACATAGTTACATGTCAACATAGATTTTAAAGTATAAAATGTAATACTCACTGGATAAACTGTTCACAGATTGTCCATTAATCCATATTGATATGAATGAAGTTTCAAAAGAGAACAATAATAATAATGGTAACAGTAATGAATAAATTAATCCAATTAAAGATGAATATAATTTGTGTAACATTGTAACATTGAATAATTGAATTGTTTATAATTCATAAGCTGGATAGTACTTATAGTGATACAAGGTTGATGTGTGTGTGTTTGTTTGTTTTGTTGTTTTTCTTTTAATTTAATTTTTTGCTTATAAATTAAAAAAACTGTTTGTTATGAGTTGTGTTTCTCATTGATCAATTCAATTGAAATTAATGATGTTCAAGTGTGACGTACGTACGTACGAAGTTCTGCGTTGTGACTGACTGACTGAATTAACTAACAGTTAAGTCCATTGGAAATAGATGAACGGTGCTGAAAATCAAAGTAGAAAAAAACATTAATTTTGTAATGAAATAAGAAACACTATGAAACTGTACAATAATTAATACAACAATCTATATGTCATATGTAAGTGTGGAAAAGTGATGTGTTGAATATAAGAATAATTAAAATAGCAAATGAATTAATGATCTAATCAGTTAACAGATTGTGGTCGGTTAAAAGATACATCTATTATTCAATCATTCTAACTTCAGTAGACAGAATAGTGTTTGAATCTACAAATCAATGAGTCAAATGTTCAGGATTCAAAATAACTGAGTTATAATTTCACAAATGAACAAACAATAAAAAAGTAAAGATGGATAGTGGCTAGCAGTGAAATGCAGGACGAGACTAACCAGTTGCAGTCCTAAGCATCAATGGGACGAGTCAAACAAACAATACTGAGTGAATTCAAACAATACAGAAGAATATACAAAGATATCATTGTTGTGTGTAACTTTTTCAATTTGGACGCTAATACAAATATCAGTGAGATGTTTATTTAGTTGCCTAAAAGAAATCTAAACTTAAAAAGATTAAAATGTTGAAATCAACAATTCGAAAGAATTTTTGAACTTTGTCAGTCACATGGTAAGTAGAGATGGATAGTAGCTAACAGTGGAATCCAGGACGCGCGTTTCGTCCTATTTGGGACTCGCCAGCTGAATGTACCTGCATCTCAGAGTTGATGTTCACTCTAGCTACTATCCATCTCTGTTTACCATGTTTGTGAATTAAGGCTATATCGAGGCAATACGCACAGTATTCACATATGCCAATTAGAGACTGACCAGTTACAGTCCTAACAAATCGATGGGAAGATTCAAACAAACAATACTGAATGAATTTGTCAGTCACAGTTTTACAAACAAAAGCTTCATCAGGCTGAAAAAAAGTTTCAATTGACTCACGCTTTCAACTATGAAAATACTAAATCTCCACAAAAAAAACCCTTCTCATAATAACAATAATTATATGCTCACTATTGACTGACTTTGAGAAGTAAATTCAGGAGTTCTAGTGAGAAGCAGTGACCAGTGGAGTTCAAACCACGTCTGTTGTGAGATATCAACTCACTGAAGACAATTGGTGAACGGTTGCCCAAACATTATAGATTGGTTGAAGTTAGACATTAACACCGTTGGATGCCGGCCAGCTCAGTGGTCTAGAGGTTAAATTTTCCTGCACGAGACTGGTAGGTCCTGGGTTCGAATCTCGCTCGTGAGGCGGGATCGTGGATGCGCACTTCTGAGGAGTCCCATAATAGGACGAAACGGCCGTCAAGTAGTGCTTCCAGGTTTTCCCATGGTGGTGTAACTTCAACTGACTCACGCTTTCAAATATATATACGCTTCACATGATCCTGCTGGAGATCTATTCCATGACCGCCAGGCTTAACGACAACAGTATTTGGATTTGGTTTGTATTAAATCATATTCCAAACTTCCGTCACTTCACAATATTGCGTGATTGTCATCCATTGCCATTGGTTATGTTTTTTTCATTCCTGACATGCTTTGAACTTTAAATGTCAATGAAGATTTGTGTACCCAGACCTGAGATCCGAAGCAGACGAAGAGATATTCTCAAACAGATAAGAAGACAAACTGAAGTCTGTTTTTCAAGTTCGTGTGAAACAGTTAAGGGTTAATTAAATGATTACCAGACAATAAGAATATAGATATATACTTATGGAATTCACAGATGATGATGATGAATGACGAACGAATGATCGACACATTTTACCATACAGCAACTTTAATTTCTTGCAAATGAGAGTAGTTCAGTAAAGTATGCTTGTATAATTATATGGATGTATGTGTGTAGGTGAGTGGGAGGATGTTTATAAGCCTTTGTAGACATACACGCTCAGTCTATTTTAACTTCGTAACTATCAGTCTTCAAATGACACAAAAGAATGTAGAAAATAAAGAAAATGACAAGAACATATTAGTAGTATTTTATTAACGTAATGGTTACTATTTACGATTGAGTATAATTGACTAGTGACATGAATACGTCATCAAATTGAATTTTATTTGAACCGTTAGTTAAAATAATGAGTGATGAAAATCACAGTATAGCTATGATTATAATACGTAAATTGATTGATTTGATTTATGATTTGGAAAACATCGCCCTTATTCACAATGCTTGATCTTCAATGAATAAAGATGAGAAGCTCTAGGTCATTATATTTTAACAAATATACTACTAAAATATTTAAATTCTTTCGTATAGTCTAATACATAGTTAGCCCCCGAATGCCCTGGTACTGTCGAGAGTGGGGAGAGTCCACCCTCCCTCTCCAAATGCTTTCACATAGCCACGCGAATATAGCCTCTGCCAAGGAAATCATACTCACTGCTTTCTCGCACCACGGGTGTAGTTTACAAAATTAAGAGGACGAAAAGCGAATGTCCGACATTTTAACCGGGTTGGTGGACACGGTGAGTTCACTTAGGGGAGTTGGAAAACCCACATTCCAAACTAATGGTCTACATGGGATCCATTATCCTGAAGGAACAAATGGCGTGTGAATCAATCGTTGATCACCGGCTATCATGGGACTGCATCACCTTACGTTGCTCCATTGCCTTGTGGATCAGACTTTTAGGTCACAAGCTCCGGGTGTGGGCCCCTAAGAAAACCACCTGTTTCAGTTTGGGCACCTGAGCAGTATCACAGCCCTCACACAAATCAAATGAGATTTGTGTGGTGCATGTATATCTGGTACCCTATTGTATCAATATTTATGTGTTTAAATAAATAATACATAGTTATGTAAAATTCGACAGGAGAAAAAGATACTGGCATTTTTCCTAATTAAATTATTGAAAATCAAGCATATCACAAATGATGAATCACTACTCTTTTGTCATTTATCTTACATTTATGGATTATACCCAGTCAAGTCGAGAACCACTGTTTAGCAAACATTAAAATTTTTTTTTTAAATCTGAGGATCTAGAAGGTTCTTCATGGGGCTCCGAAACGAGAAACATTAACTATCGACCATTTCTACTTCCATTAAATATAAATTCTTAATTCGTACAATAGTAATACAATGCTAATTGAACTACAAACATTTAAAATAATCTATTTATTGTAAGCAATCTAGCTAGTTTTATTTATTTATTTAAACACACAAATATTGGTACAAGGAAGCACCAGATACATATGCGCCGCACAAATCTCATTCGATTTGTGTGAGGGCTGTGATACTGCCCAGGTGCACAAACTGAAGCAGGTGATTTTCTTAGGGGACCACATCCGGAGCCTTTGACCGAAAGATCTGATCCACAAGGTAGTGGAGCATCGTGAGGAGATGCAGTCGCATGGTAGCCGGTGATCAACGATTGATTCATACGCCATTTGTTCCTTCAGGATACTGGAGCCCATGTGCACCATTGGTTTGGAATGAGGGTTTTCCAACTCCCCTAAGTGGACTCGCCTTGTCCACCAACCCGGTTAAAGCGCCGGACATTCGCTTTTCGTCCTCTCAATTTCGTGAACAACACCCGTGGTGCGAGAACGCAGTGAGTAGGACTTCCCTGACAGAGGCTATATATTCGCTGGCCATGTGAGAGCATTTGGAGAGGGAGGGTGGACTCTCCCCACTCTCGGCCGTTACAGGGCATTTGGGGGCCTAGCTAGTTAAATAATTGAAATAAACATTATGTACTTTATATTGGTACCAGAGAGATGAAATAGGTTTCGAAAATGAACAGCAGTACTGAATTCCTACCTAAGCAAGCCTAATTCTGATATACAATAAGTAGAGTGCTATTATTTGATAGGTATTTTCATAAAAGATTATTGATAAATAATTGAAAATTATATGTTGTAAACAGTACGTAAAGTTTTAGGTAAATTCATGGTATGCCAAAGCTGATAAAACAATCGACAAGTGAATAATATACTTAATTCTTAATAAGTATAATGATATTTGTCATCAATACACTATTGATGAGTTTCATATGAATTTAAAAAGAAAGACATTAACACCGTTGGATGCCGGCCAGCTCAGTGGTCTAGAGGTTAAGTTCTCCTGCACGAGACTGGTAGGTCCTGGGTTCGAATCTCGCTCGTGAGGCGGGATCGTGGATGCGCACTTCTGAGGAGTCCCATAATAGGACGAAACGGCCGTCAAGTAGTGCTTCCAGGTTTTCCCATGGTGGTGTAGCTTCAATTGACAAATGATTTCAACTAGGAAAGATAGAATAGCTAATTTGATGTGGTATCTTAACAACACGCCATATGGATACAAAACACAAACAAAACACTTACTAAAATGAAATTCTCAACTGATATTATGTAAATAATAATTCATGTAAATGGGTTATAATATGAGAAGAAAACCATCGTAAACGTGTTGAGCAAAATGAATTTAATGAGTCATCGAATAATTTCAAACTCAATTCTACATAGAAATAAAATAAGTAGTTAAGTCATCATTGTAAAAATATTCAGTTCATTGTTCTGATGGATAAGAATAAATCTTCAAAGAAATTCATTCCAATTTTGACCTTATAATGAAAAGGGCTGATAGGACCAATTTTATGTATATATCTATGAATGAGTGTATGTTGTAAACAACCGAGGTCAAATTGGTTTTCTAACATTGTTCATTGTTCAGACCAGTTTATTGATTTATTCTGGAAAAGAATGAAATCTTAATATGCACAAATGAATAAAATCATGTGGGCCAAAGATTCATATATGTAAACTTGTCACTCAAAATAAATATAGGCTGAGAGGAAAAGATTTATAGAAATCTAATTGTGATTCATTTCTATGTCATTATAACAACAAAGCAACCGGAAGTTGTAAAAAAAAAGAATTGCGGGCATTGAAACAATAAATTATTTAAATTCATCTAAATATTGTTTGTTTGAATCTTCCCATCGATGTGTTAGGACTACAACTGGTCAGTCTCTAATTGGCATATATGCATACTGTTCATATTGCCTCGATATAGCCTGAAT